CCATAATGCAGTGGTATTTACCCCTGGGGTCGCGACTCGCAAAAAGTAGCTTATATCCTTCCCCAGGAAGCAACCTACCTCTATACTAAAGTGGGTGGATAAAGTCACACATTTAGCCTTATTACGTAGGATATCCTGCCATCTGCAGCACTGTCAGGGTTAAACTGACTAACGTTTCAAGTAGGTGAGACCGACTTCATCACTCGGCTACGTACCTGTCTAACACATTCTCACTTACCTATCAATGTTATTACCTAGTTTTATTGTATATAATACGTAAAAAGGTACTTAGTTCACTTGATCTCTCGGGTACAAAAAAAGGAAATATCGTTATTTTCTCTAGAATTATTCATGTATACTGTACAACTATTAGACATTTTTGCTTATACAAAACACTTATGATTTACCTATATAAATTTATAATAACTTAATTCTTAATTATTTTAATTAAAATACTTAATTCTGATTATTTAATAATTGCAAAAAAACTTAATAAATTAATTGATGTATAAAATTTCGAAATATTGTTGGTCTATTTATTTAAATGCGCACGACTAACAGCCCTTTCATGGATACTCTGACTGAGCCGGCGCAAACCGGTTTGTACCCCGACGGAGCGTCGGTGAACCTGTCGGTGAGAGCTCACGCACACATCGCTGCGCTATGCATGGGTGTATTCGCCGCGAGCCGTTTGTATGTAGCTTCCCCTCTGGTCGGTTTCTTTACTCATGTGACTAGACTGCGTTTCTATGCGTATGCATTTACAAGCTACAAGAGTTGTAAAAAAAATTTTACTTGGGACCACGTCTTGGGTGACATACTATCTTCAGTTCGAAATTGAAGACGAAATTTGCCATTTCGTGGTGTGAAATATGTGGTGAAAAAGATAACCAATATTTTTTTTATGAATGTACCGTTTAATTAGCTTAATTCAGATAAGAAAAAGGGAAAAGAAATTATAAGGGTAAAGGAAAAAAGACTAAGGTGCACAAGGAGCCCGGACCTTCGGAGCCCTCCGAAAGAGCAAAGAGGCATGTTCTCTAGGTATCAAACGAAACTTCGGTATGAGATGTTAACAGTAATAGTCAGGACGATGAGGATCATGTCACAGACGACACAGGAAACAGTTGTCTAGTATGCAGCTAATTTAGAAGAAACAACGAGATGTGGTAAAGATATATGTATGTCACGGATGGAAATCCGCCAAAGGTTATATCTCCTATGTGTTAAATTTTGTTTGACTCTGATTACCCACAGGGTGACTACCATAGGCCTTACCTCAGTGCAATGTGGGTCAAATCTGTTGTTTTTTGAACTGTCATTATTTCCAAAGCTGATTGCCAAATTGATTAAAACTGTTCTCAATTGATAGCTAAATATTGTGGAATTAGCTTTTATTTTCATTTTATAGGAGAGGGGGCAAACGAGCACGCGGCTCACCTGATGGTAAGTGACTACCGCCGCCCATGAACAACCGCAACACCAGGGGAATTGCAGATGCGTTGCCGGGCTTTTAAAAAGGAGTAGGCTCTTTTCTTGAAGGTCCCTAAGTCGTATCGGTCTGGAAAATTGCTGGTGGTAATCGATTCCACAAGGAAGTTGTGCGAGGAAGAAAACATCTTCTAAATCGCACAGTGGTGGACCGCCAATCATCCAGATGGTATGGATGGTATCGCGAGTTTTGTCGCGATGTGCGATGGTGAAATGGAGCGGCTGGAATTAGTCCGAACAATTCCTCAGAGCACTGCCTGTGGCACATGCGATAAAATACGCAAAGAGATACATCATCTCCACGCAGTGCCAGTGAGTCAAGCCGATCGGAAAGAACTCTGTCGTCGACGATTCGAGCCGCTCTGCGCTGGATGCGGTCAAGTGGAAGGAGCTGGCACTGGGGAGCCTCTGCCCAGAGATGAGAACAATATTCCATGTGAGGCCGAACCTGCGCCTTGTAAAGTTGTAGGCGGTGTGCCGCCATGAAATACTGTCCCGCTCTTCTGAGCACGCCAAGCTTGTTAGAGGCCAATTTGGCCTTCTCTTCCAAGTGACCACGAAACTGCACGTCACTCGATATGACGACGCCGAGGATTCCAATACTGACTGAGGCAACAAGGGGAGTGCCTTGAAACTGAGGAGATGCGACAAAGGGGTTCCTTTTAGCGGTAAACGCGCGTTTTTAAAAACTTTTAGCAGTAAAAACTTGTGTCTTCTGGGGATTGAACTGGCTAGATTTAGTCGCCCCCAATCCGAGACTTTGTCAAAACCACAAAGTCTCGACTTCAGACACAAGTTTGTTCCGGTACTCGGCGACGTTTTCCCGAGAAATACTGGTACGGCCGGTATAGAGCATCACCAGTGCTGTCATCTGCATAGCAATGTATGTTACCGATTTGCAACATATCATTGATATGCAGAAGAATAGCACGCAGCCTTGTGGAACACAAGTGTTAATAGGCTTGTAATCGTAGGACGCACCATCTTCTATGACCTTGATGCTCCGATCAGCCAGAAAACTGGTGATCCAATTGCACAATTTTTTACGTGGTAGACCCATGCTGCAGCTATATTAATAGTAGCACAAATAGGTTGGCTGGACCGGGGAAGGGCCACGCTCTCATAAAATACCAGCGTAAAATAGCAGCTAAATGCAGCAGCATACGAAACACAACAGTGTTTCGTGTGCTTTCTGTACTGAGCACTGTGTGAATCACACATCAGACACAGAGCACTCGCACTGCGGGATGGTCGGCAGTGTGTTCCCCCCGTCACCAAGAGTCAAGTTGAACGCAAAAAGGAAGCCTAAAAGGTCGGCTTTCTCTTTTGCGTGGGCCAGATTCTCCCTGTGCAGAGATGGTAGTGATGGCGTAGAGAAATTCCCTTGGACAGCCTTGGCGAGGGACCGGAATGCACGGGTTCCCGAAGGAAGGCGAACTAGTTTCTCGCCAATTCTGCCTATGTGCTCTGACTTTGTCTTGGCAATAACTCTTTTGAAGGACCTGGAGGCGAAGTTATTCATCTTTTTAAGCATGCTGGTGTTTACATCCCGAGCCACCGATAACACTCCTGCCTGCAGTCTTACAGGAGCGACCAAACCAAGGCTGAGATTTGCCACCGATGGGTACCACAGACGATAGAATAAATAGTTCCAGATTCAGTGACAAAGTCAGAAACAGCGCTGGGATCATCCAGCGAGAAGCAAACCCGCCCCCATGGGTAGGATGCAAAGAAAGACCGCATTCCGTCCCAATCCGCCGACCTGTAATGCCAAACACGGCGGCAACCTGCAGAAAGCAACCGCGAGGAGAGCGTGAGTGGCACCACACTCCGAATCAGACAATGGTCCGAAGAGTCGAGAGGAGCATCGACGGAACCTGATATCCGTCCGGATGAGAGGTCAGCAGAAGGTGCAACAGGGAAGGTGTATGTGTCCTTTAACCGGAGCCCCTTTTTACTGGAAACGAAGCATTACATCTTAGTCCTCACGGGTGACAACGCATCTGCATTTTGATTCGTAATCGAGAATAGATGTAGATGTCTATAGGCCGCAGCAACCACTTACCATCTGGTGGACTGCGTGGTTGTTTGTCACCCTTATCCTATAAAAAAAATCCTCCACCTTTGGAATCCGCGTAGGCGAAGTAACCAGTTGTCAGACCATATGCCAAAGCAGTCATAAACAGATCTCCCCGCATGATCGGTTAAACATGAACCGAGCCATTCAGCGTGGTGGGCGTTAAAATCGCCAAGTATCACGATCTCCTAGGATGGGATCTGTTGTAGCAAGAAATTTGTAGCCATTTGGACGTGGTCGATGAGTCGGTGTGTCGGCATTACCGCTATGAGACCTATAGAGGCACCCGTAGACGCGGGGATGGTCGTCGCTGTCTACGCGCAGCCAAAGAATGGACAGAGCTTCAAGACTGCCGAGGCGTCGAGAACAGATATCCTCTGTGACGTATACGCAAACTCCAGCCCAGGGCACAAAGAAGTGTTCTAATTTGCACTCCGGGTAGGACAGGTACGAAGTATCAGCCGGAGAGGACACCTGCGTCTCGGTCAAAAAGAGCAAGGCCGGCTTCGCCGTCTCTAGATGGTAGTAGACGGCGTTAAGGTTCGAGTGAAGTCCCCTGATGTTGCAGAAATCCACGGATAGCGTGGCAGGGGTCACCATGGTTTTATCGCTCTGTTTGCCCCGTGCAGTGTTAGTATAGATGATGCCCCCCCCCCTCCCCCCGAATACTCTGGGCAGCACTGAGCACCCACGCTCAGGAAGTAGAGGGTAGCTTGACCGTGGATGTTCTGTGAGGGATTCTCCATCACCAGGGGGTGCTGGTACCCTCCTAGGGTATTCGTTTCTTTTTGAATGCCGCTACCATGTTATGAGGGGGGCGCATAGAGTGCATAAAATTAAGCTTTTGCTCGTTCTTTATGGTAAACACCGTATTAGCCACACATCGAATTTCTGGCGAACTGTACTAACTGTGTAACAAATAACTTCACCTCAGTCCCTACTAGCGAGATCTGGTAAGCGGAAAATTATTAGCTCTCATTTGTTCTGTTTAAATATTATACCTATTCATATAAAAATGTAGCAACCTTTAGCTGAAATAAATAAAAAGAAAAACATAGTATCATGAAACAAATTTTATTTATATAGAAATTTTTTCATTGCTGATGCTTTGATGTTATTAGGCAGTTATAATTCTAAGTTATGAATTGTAGTATGAAACAGTTACAATTAGCATGTCTGTTTTTGATGCTTGTTGTTGAAAATCAAAACTATATTAATATAAAAAAATTAAAAAAAAATCATATTCTAAGCTCACACTACGAATGTTTACTTATTTTTACTGTTATAAAGGCGGTTGGTTGGTGTTTTATTGTAAATAATTGCTTAAGATAATTCCATTTTACCAACAACTTATGTAATTGCCAATTTTAAAATGTTAAGAAAATATTTACAACCTAATAAATATATAAATCAGGTCTAAGGTAATGCAAATTTAAATAAGGCTAGGTGATGGAGTTTTTATTTGAATATTTTCAAATACTGAATTAAAATCAGTGTCTAATCCTTGATTTTCTATTCCATACAATAAATGTTCAGAAGAAATATTTCTGCTGGGTCCAGGAACAGGAGTTATTGCAGTCGTTGTGCGATTATATATTTCGTCATTATCATCCTCCTCAGTATCATCCACTGAAAAAACAAAACCAGTTTTTTTAAATTCCTGACTTCTTTGTGGTCAACTGTACTATAAATTTCTTTATTCTAAATGGCATCAGTACTATGAGCTGAAAGTGGTAATATCTGTTTTTTTTTTTTTCTCATAGTAATATGTTTGCCAAATAACAAATTTCATATTATGTAAAAAGCTTAAAAAGTTTAGATTAATGTTCTTGAATTTGAATTTAATTTTGTGAATATAATTCAAATGTGAATATAAAAGTGATTGTATAACAACTTTAAATATACATAAAACGAAAGGCATCTGGTATAGAACTTTACAAAGCGAGCCTTATCGTGTACCTTGGTTTAATGATTGTGATCTCAACAGAAATTTTGTTAAGTTGGCCTTAAGGCTTCGTTCTGGTCATACTCCATCAGCAAAGTTCACTTTTTTAAGGGGAAAAAAACCTTCACCGAATTGTGATGTATGCAACAAAATTGAAGATGTTTACCATTTGTTGATGGAGTGTGTCAAGAATGAAAAAGATAGACAGGCTGTGTTGAAAGAATTTAACGCAAATGTTTTGGATTTCGATCTAGTGCAAATGGTTTTATCAAACCCCAAATCAAAGATGTCAAGAGGGTTATTCCGGCTTGTTTCTAGGACGGAATAATTATCTTCTCTAACTAGTATAAGTTTCTTTTTAGGTTAATAATTTAACTAGTACTCTCAATTATACATTTTTATTTTGTTATAGTGTTAGCAGTAATTAGTATAAGGTATGATGGGATTGGCATGTCATTTTGACAAAAATCCCAAAAAATTAAAGAAAAAAAAATTTTAAACATGTTAGATACAATCTTAAAGGCCCCAATAGTTACTTTGATACAATTTATAAAAAAATTGGCACTGGACTTACCAGGTACCACAGTACGGCCTTCATATCTCTTCCATTGTTTTCTCAATCTTAAATAAATAATAGCACATCCAATTAAAACAATAATGGACACCACTATTGCAACAAGCTTGAGTGCATCTATCGTAGAGAAAGATGAATCATTCACTACCATTTCCACTTCTCCAGCTGAAATCTTCGAACCATCAAGGTGTTTTGACAGGCATACATAATGTCCAGATTCACTAGGAGACACATTCTGAAAATATTTATGTATTCATATTTGGCATATAGAGGGAAGACCATTTCATATGAGTCTTAAACAGAAAAAGTCCAAACTAAATAACCTATAATTAGCATAGTATAGTCTCAAAAGTTACAAACTAAGTTAGTATGATGGATAGTTAGCAAGAGGAAGAACTAAAATAAAAATAAAACTAAGACAAGAATAGTTGAAAATTTAATGAAAGTTTTATTGCTCACAATGAATATGTATCAAAATTATGGCAATAATCCTTATTCAAGATTAATTGAATGATTTTCAAGTCCAAGAAACATCTCTATTTACAGCAATTTAATGGAATATGTTGATACATATCATAATAAATAGCATTATATTGTATTCATAATTTACATTTTTTCTAAATTGCTATTTTATTTGCAGGGAAGTAAACAAATTAAATGAAAAAATTTGCCAATAATTTTAATTGGGTCTTAAAATAATTAATACCTGAAAATATTACCTTGGGTTGGTTACATAGTCTGCTTTGAGTTACATGAGAGTACATTGCTTACAATTACACCCTACATAAGCTCCACAGCAAGGCATGGGAGGAGGAAATCATTACTTAGAGTGTACAAGTTGACTAAACTCATACAGTTCACTCTTTATTTCAGTTAATATACATGCTCACCTAGCATTGTGTGAGAAAGAAATGGGTTCACAAAGAGCAGTTAGAAGATAGTGTGCACTCACACACTCCTGTATATAGTAAGGACGAGCTACATAGCACACATCATGTAAGCCAGTGCTTGACCACCATTCTGGCATAACAAAAGCGTATTCACTCTTGCCTGAAAGATGCCCAATTGTATTTGGATGGAAAGACAGAAGCCAGCAGATTATTCCACTACTTTGCTGTACGCATTACTTACTAAAGACGAATAAAACCTTTTGGTTTGAATGCGAGGATCAACAACAAAGGGGTGAAACCCGCCAAATGCCTAGTTGTCTAATGGTGGAAACTGGGAGGGAAGAATTAAAAAGCATGCAATTCCTGCGCAAACTCTCCGAAAGGCATCCTATAGAATACCGAGAGGTTGGCTGTTCTGACTATTCAGATAAGATTGGTTCAATCAAATCAAGGTTACCAATAAGTCTCTTAGTCTCTCTTTAAAGAGAAAATAAGTCTCTCTTAAAAAAAAAGTCTCTTTCTTATCTCTCTACTGAGTCCAACGCGACAGAAAAAAAAAATTACAAACAGAGGGCTCACTCCTGAAATTGTTTTAGAATTTGATTAAATTTTCAAATCACATTGACATTTATCACAACTGATTTTAAGAACTTACACTGAAAGAAATTTAGAGAAACAGATTGTGTTACGATTAAGCTTTATCAGAGCTTAGGCACATCCGGATATTTTATTGTCTGGAGATCATTTTTATTAATTTAAAAATTTTATTCTCAAATATTTTTTGAGTTAAATAGGATGAACTAATCAAGAAAAAGACTTTTGTTCTGATAATTAAATTAAAACAATAAATAATTTACAAATTAATATACAGTATAGGGATACTTACATCTATCCATAATTTTCCTGATAAAACTTCATATTTATATTTCTTTACATCAAAGTCATTGTCAGGGCCAATTATTTTTGTTTTGTTTACAAGCCAGAACATGAAATTATGGTCATAGTCATTACTATTACAGTTTAAAACTGCTGTTGAACCTGCAGGCACTTCGGTCATAATAGACGTCTTGATCTCTGCTGTCATTTTTGCAAATGCTTTGGGTGGAACAGTTATATCATCAGTATATTACTCTGTTTAATTTTGACACAACTATGCAAACATATTGTGACAATGAATGAGTGCCAAGTTTAAAATTATCTACAATCCATGAGGTCACATGGTTTTTTACACAAGAGCTTAATATATGTTATTATTATAGATAAATCATGTTTATGCTTTTCTAATAACGGCTACTTCGACTTGAATTTTTGATTAAATGCATAAAAACTTCAACACATAGAACCGGCAATAGCATCCAAATAGGCGTCATTACAACGTATATGGGTAGATTTACTTTGGTATATTCTAACTTAATACAAATAATAATTTGTGCTGCCATTTTGAGACCAATAGCAGCAATGTACCATACATTTTTATTAATAGTCCCTCTAAATCTTTCAATGCCATTTCGACAGTGGGAAACCATGTGAAATAACACGTATATTAATAAAATGCTATCGTACACCCACATAGGTATAAAAACTATAAACCAATTCCAGTGTGTTCTAGACTCTAATCGTAGACATAGCAAAATTAGGAAGACTAAAAATATAAACCACGTGAAAAGAGCCCTATGTAATATTGCCATTTTTTCTATTTCAAGATATAAAATCTAAACAAATTCACGGATCAACAGGGTACAGAAATAGTTGGTGTCAAGTCAATGTCAATTGTCATTTATCAACCAGGTGTCAACTTGACACTTGACAGAGCACAGAATAGTGATGAGTGCATCCACGACTTTTTTGCCACCAAGGCCACAAACTAATAAGAAGTACTAGGTGGTGCCACTTAGGAATGAGGTGAAATATTTGACAGATTTTAAGTTGTTTGTTAGAAAAGTGTAGAGATTAATGTTTTTCCCTGAAATATTAGTTCTTTTTAAAATTCGATAAACCAAACTACGGATATTCCTTCAAGAAGAAATAAATTGTAAAGAATGTGTAAAAAATTCAAAAATCAGGCATTGTTTTGTGTTTATGTCACAACTACTACTACTAGCTTAATTAGCCTTTCACTTAACAGCCTAACTTTTTTACTAAACGATTCCGATCCGTCTAATACACTATTGCACCTATCTTGTAATATCAGCGATAGTATGTTAAGGGCCAGTTGCGTTGGCCCATTTTTGAAGTGAAAACTTCTTTATTTAGAATCGTTGTGATTGGAAACTCGATGAAACGAAAAGCGACACTAAATGGAGACAAACATATACATCCGGGGTAGGACCATGCTCTCACAGAATACCAGCGTAAAATAGTAGCTTAATGCTGCTGTGTTTCGTATGGTGAGTGTAGATAACCGGAGACCCTTTTTACTGGAAAAGAGGCATCCATCATCATTCCATCTTAGTCCTCACGCCTCACGGCTGACAACGCATCTGCATTATGATTCTCAAACGAGGATAGATGTAGATCTTTAAGGGCCACAGCAACCTCTTATCATCAGGTGGACTGTGTGCTCACTTTTTACCCTTACCCTATAAAAAATATATTGAATAAAATTAATACATCCAATCTATACATAACAATCCATGATTTTATAACTTACCAATTTATGTCAAATTAGTAATTATAGTGTTTAAGCCATGTAGCGTCTATTTTTGCGTCAGTTTAGCGTCAATTTTTGTTCGATAATAGGACTCTACCGCTGGTGGCGCGATTACAAAGCAATTTTACTCGAAAGAAAATATGCTTTTGATTTATTTTAAACTTTGTAACAATATTATAAATGTTCGCGCCTAAATAACATAATATATGGAGATCGGTGTGCTAGAATGGAAGGAGATCAACAAGAAAAGGGAACGAACCGCGGCGACTACGTCAAACTTCATTTTTATTAAAATATTTTCTTCTTTATAAAGTTAATTTAAAATAACGTGTGTTATTCATTAACTAAAATCACTTTCGAAAATATTGAAAGAAAATAAAACAAGCAAGAAAATATGTAAACATTTTTTGGAACCCCTGCGTGATCAAAATCAACTTTGGAAGGCGATATATTCAGTAGGATGAGGTAAAACAATCTATAACCGAGGGAGTACGCCCATTCCTATCAATTCCTACTTCTTTAAAATAATTTTGCTTTTTTTGTTCAAATACTAGTCGATATTCTACACATCTTTTCAAAGTAACCCTCAACTTCTTTTATTTTTTCTTCCTTTGTTATTTAAATTAGAATTTCCTGTTTTTAAATATCGCAAACAAATTCAATGCTAATGATCTTAATATTCCATTTATAAACTTAATAATAATTATATTTATAACAAGTACCTCTAGCACTTATTAGTTTGTGACAAGTAGAGGGAGGCGGGGCAGTTTGATGCAAGGGGCAGATTGATTCACCTAACATATATCCTAATCGATTAGATGTAATGGAGTCGTGACATCGTTATAACTTGTCTATATATACCTTAACGCGCCACTTGCGGCCGCGCCGTTAGCCAGTTAGCCGATGGCGTTAGACGAGATAGTTGATGTTCTGTGTTCGGCCGACTAAAAACTTTTTCGAATTATTTACACATACTAAAGGCGAGTTATACCATCGATAAATAGGTGTTTAATGGTTTTTTACTAAATAAATCAAGTAGTCATATATGTATAATAAATTATGTTAACGTTTTACAAAAACTTCTTTTGGGGCACAATGATACGGTAAATTCTGGGGCACCTTGATGCGTATTATTATGCCCCAATGTAAAATTTTGTTACTATTTATTAATTTTGCAATTTTTTTTTTTCGGAAAACGATGCGAGCGTTTGGTTTATACCAAAGACTAAACGATGCAATATAAACGAATAAAATATGAAGGCTGCTATATCCGACGTTATATCAAAAAAAAATATCTATACAAGTAGCAGCTGATAATTATAACATCAAGGCTGCAACATCGTATCGAGAAATTTCGAAAATCTTTTGAAGATAATCAGACATCATTTTCTAAACTTATCTATAATAGAACTGTATCTAAATACACTGTTGCTCAAATATTCTCGAAACAAGAAGAGAAGATTCTCGCAGAATATTTGTTAAACTGTAGCAAAATACACCATGGGTTTTCCTTACAGCAACTTTTGGTTTTGGCATATGAATTTGACGAATACTCAGGCAGCAAATATCCAAAATCATGAAAGAAAAATAAATGTAAAAGATTGGTCAAGAGGATTTAGAATGAGGAACCAGGAGCTTAGTCTCAGAAAACACAAGCGCAGCACAGTTTTACATTTAATAGAACAGCAGTAAACAGTATGTAATGCTACAGTACACATTTGCTCCTGACCGTACCATCAACCTTGACGAAACTAGAGTCACTACTGTATTATCTACATCTAAAGTTCCGGCTGCAAGCATATAGAGGCAAGTAGGACAAATTTTGTCGGCCGAAAGTCCCACCTCAGAAAGAAACCAAGATCTTGCGTTTTTGTTTTTTCGAATGTAGAAGACCAAAATAGAGCTGATTCTCAAGATGTAATTTTACATCTGCCTTAACAAAATTTTTCAAAAGACACATGACGACCATCATCTCACTAAACTGTTTTAGTAAATTTAAGCGCCTTTTAAGGTGCAGCAGAGAAATTCAAAATGTGTTTGTTGTTACGTTAGATAAGACATTTTTATATTGATCTGATAATTAAGTACATTTATAAGTGTTTTTTTTTTTGTTTAGATTGATTTATATCAAAACAAAACTAAAAGCTGTTTTGTGTTTAATTATAGAAAGTTTCTATGAAGAAGATATATGGTTAAAATGACGTGTTAGGGTTAGAGTAACAGATATTATTTATTCATAAAACGCGAAAGACTGATTGTGATTTCTGAACAATAAAAGTATGATTAGCATACTTGTCTTTCAAGTTAATACCATTTCCATACAAATTTCAGTTAGTATCAAAGTGCCCCGAGTGGTGTATCTAGGTGTCCAGTAGGTGGGGCAAAATGATACATATCTCCTTTTTTATTAAAAGCTTTATATTTTTTTTTTTACATTAATTAGACTGATTCCTTTGATTACTTTTATGATATTTATAAATTTAGTAATGCAGAAAACATAACAAATATACTACTTAACGTTGTTTAAGTACTTTTGTGACTTTAAGGTATAAAATAACAACGGAAAACATGCAATTTTCAGATTTTTCATTAAAAAGCGTTACAATAACATGCAAATCAAATGTTTCGGAATGTAAGGTATTCTCCCAAAGTGTATGTTTGAGATAATGAATCGCCCGGTACATTCTGTTGAAATGGTTTTTCTACCAAATAAGTATATTGTGCGCATAGTAGTAGTTCATCTCCCATTCGGGTAGGTTTGGGTAGCATCTGCTGAAAATAATGTAGCTATTTCTGAATCTTGCGATTCCGATGACAGTATGGGTCACACACAGTATGGTGGACAGGTAGAAGCATGGGATGATCCAGGGCGGTCTTCACTAGAGCTGTATATTATGTTATTACTTGAAATTTCTATAGCTTTTTTAAACACTTCCGATCGAAAAAGTAATTTTTGATGGTTAGAAAAATTTTTGAAAATCGGCAAAAGGAAAAAAAATTATGACATGTCATCGTTCTGAATAACTTTAATATTTTCTTTATACGATTTCATCATTTCTTTATCAAATTCTGGTCCTCATCACTGCACCTTTTACGCATTCTCTGCAATTTTTTCTGCACTCTCTATACAAAAGCAGTAGTAAGGTTTGCTTGGGAAGTGTTGGGGCCTCGGCACGTTGAAGGTGCCGCAAAATTTAGTTCATCATCATTTGTATATTAGTTTAATGATGCAGGCACTCTGTTTGACAGTGTAACTTCTGTGTCGATAGTCGCGGGCGTGCTATTTGATTGGGATGCATTAATGGTGTTCAGACTTGCTAAAATTGAATCTTTAGTATCTACCACATGTTTTTATCTAGAAATTACATACAGTCAAATATATATTTCTTTAGTTTCCACCTCAAGATTCAGACTTCACGTTCTTAAATGTGGCTTTGCACCTAACATAGGCGTTCCTCGGAGCTTTCCACCATTGTTGTACTTGTTTATCTGTAAATGATTTTAATTGTTTATTTGTTTTGTTTCAGGTACCTTGTGTCTGGACAAAGAATATATAATTTTTATTTTAGTTACCGTCTAGGTACGGCACCTATCGGTGGTATCATCAATAAAAAAAAAACAGGCCAATTGTGTGTCGGACCACGCGCAATGTAGGTATAGGTAGGGTTCGACAACTATAACGACTAAAAATGGGCCCAAATAGGAAGACGGTAACTGAAGAACTTATTTCCAAATCATACTTATAGGGAGTGGTATATGTACTTATAGGGAGAGGTATACTTAGAGGAAGTGGTATACTTATAGGGAGTGGTATATGTACTTATAGGGAGAATTATACTTATAGGGAGTGGTATACTTATAGGGAGAGGTATACTTATAGGGAGTGGTATACTTATAGGGAGTGGTATATGTACTTATAGGGAGAGATATACTTATAGGGAGTGGTATATGTACTTATAGTGCGAGGTATACTTATAGGGAGTGGTATATGTACTTATAGGGAGGGGTATACTTATAGGGAGTGGTATTCTTATAGGG